GCGCAAGGGCGTGCGAATGATGTCGGCATGCGGAGCGAGAGGCCCGTTTGGCGGAATTTCAAGAAGATGTTGAAACACCTATGGTTTTTTTTCAAGAATTCGCAAGAGTGCGAGCGCACGTTTTTTTTGAAAATTGTTGTCGCGAAACCGAATGTTTTTGCATGTTTTTTCCCAACCATCCCGCGGTGTCGGGTCCTCGTTTTGAAGAGACAGCGCCCCGCGTCTCACCTCCCGCTGCCCTCCTCTCTTCTCCCATCATCGTCATCATCATCATCATCATCATCGTCATCATCACCACTAGCATCATCATCGTCATCATCATCGCCATGGCCATTAGTTTCCAACCATCCTGTGGTGTTCGCATGGCGGCCCCGCCCCATTCTGGCGCACCCCTCACACGGTTCGTGGCCCCATAGGGAGCTCCACCGAAGGCCCCAGTGGCTGCGTTCGCATGGCGGCCCCGCCCCATTCTGGCGCACCCCTCACACGGTTCGTGGCCCCATAGGGAGCTCCACCGAAGGCCCCAGTGGCTGCGTTCGCATGGCGGCCCCGCCCCATTCTGGCGCACCCCTCGCACGGTTCGTGGCCCCATAGGGAGTCCACCGAAGGCCCCAGTGGCTGCGTTCGCATGGCGGCCCCGCCCCATTCTGGCGCACACCTCGCACGGTTCGTGGCCCCATAGGGAGCTCCACCGAAGGCCCCAGTGGCTGCGTTCGCATGGCGGCCCCGCCCCATTCTGGCGCACCCCTCACACGGTTCGGGCCCATAGGGAGCTCCACCGAAGGCCCCAGTGGCAGGGTTCGCATGGCGGCCCCGCCATTTGGCGCACCCTCACACGGTTCGTCGGCCCCATAGGGAGCTCCACCGAAGGCCCAGTGGCACGGCCCTTCGGCGCACCCCTCACACGGTTCGTGGCCCCATAGGGAGCTCCACCGAAGGCCCCAGTGGCTGCGTTCGCATGGCGGCCCCGCCCATTTGGCGCACCCCTCACGGGTTCGTGGCCCCATAGGGAGCTCCACCGAAGGCCCCAGTGCCTGCGTTCGCATGGCGGCCCCGCCCCATTCTGGCGAACCCCTCACACGGTTCGCGGCCCCATATGGGGGTTCAACCGAGGGCCCCAGTGGCTGCGTTCGCATGGCGGCCCCGCCCCATTCTGGCGCACCCCTCACACGGTTCGTGGCCCCATAGGGAGCTCCACCGAAGGCCCCAGTGGCTGCGTTCGCATGGCGACCTCGCCCCATGTCGGCGCACCCCTCACGAGGATCGTGGCCCTGTGGGGAGCTCCACCGAGGGCGCCAGTGGCAGGGTTCGCATGGCGGCTCCGCCCCATGTCGGCGCACCCCTCACGAGAATCGTGGCCCCATAGGAAGCTCCACCGAAGGCGCCAGTGGCAGGGTTCGCTTGGCGGCCCCGCCCCTTTTCGGCACACCCCTCACACGGTTCGTGACCTCATACGGCGCGAGCAGTCCGCGGCCAGACCTCGGTCCTGCGGACTCTCGCCCTGGGCCGTCGGCTGCCCGGCGCACTGCTCCCTCGGCCGACGTCGCCCAGGCGTGATCCTGGACTGCGGCCGCCACGAAGTCGGGAACGGCAAGAAGGAGGACGACGACTGGTGGCTGGAGCTCTATGTGTTGCTCTCGCGCGCCACGCGCCACGAGGACCTCCTGCTCATGCGGGCGCCGCGCATCGAGTTCTTCCTGGCAGGGCCGCCGGAGGGCTTGCGGAAGCAGCTGGAGCAGTTTGCGGCGCGCGCGAAGCGGCGCAGGAGGGAGGCGACGTCCCTCGCCAGGGAGCTCGGCTTCACCGAGTTTATCCGCGAGGCCTGACCTGAGGAGCGTCCGCCCCGAGCCGCGCCTTCTCTCGACTGCCCGACTAACTGTTTGGACTCGCGCCGCGGACGACCCGCGCGCGTCGCTGGGACCCTCTCGGGGCGACCAGCGCGCGTCGCGGGAACTCCGTGCCGCGTTTTGCCCGGCGCCTCGTTCGCCCGTCGTCGCTCTGCCCAGCGGTCAGAGCCTTGCCCGCTATCAGCCAGTCAGTTAGCTAGCCAGCTTTCTTTGCTCCGCGCAGCGGGCGACCCGCGCGCGTCGCTGGGATCCCGCCAGGGGCGACCGGCGCGCGTCGCGGGAACTCCGCGCTGCGCTGCGCCCGCAGCCTTGGATTTTTGGAGTGCGCGCGCAAAGAGGGAGGAAAAGAAGGGGCGAAAGCGGGCGCGATCCTCGCAAGGGCCGTGCCGACATGGGCGTCGCGGCGCGCGGGCGCTGCCGTCGGGGTTCCCCCGGAAGCTGCCCGCGGCGGCCAAGCCCAGTGTCGCGAGTGTTCGGACAGGCATGCTCGAGCAATTCACGTTCATATACATTTACACTAGGCGTAGCCATGATCGCATTCGTGCAAATTACATCACTCGCGCGTAGACCCATTCACACTCAGACTCACTCGCGCTCTGACTCACCTGCGTTCATTCTCTCGTAATCAGACCCATCGTATTCCTTTGCGTTGTGTGCCCCGCCACATTTCGGCACCCCCCTCATACGGTTCTGGGCCCTATGGGGAGCGCCACCGAAGAAGATACTCACAATTGCGGTACTCACAACTGCATATGGTTGGGTCCTTCGCCAGGATAATTTGACACTCGGTCTTGACATCGCTACGACAATGCAGACTTGTGACGGATTTTGACATGCGCGCGACGACGCGCGCGCGTGCACTTCGTCTCATTTTTGGAAAGGGTTCTCGCAACGGCATGCGCGCAGGGGCGTTTGAACGATTTCGACATGCGCACGCGCGAAACCCGTTTGGTAATATTTGATGTCAGTGTTGAACACCGATGGTTTTCTTACGAAATCCCATGAGCGCGCACGCTTTTTTGTTGAAGACCCCTGTTGCGAAACAGTGTGTTTTGGTATGCTTTTTCTACACTCGATTTTGACATCCTTACGAAACCAGAGGTTTTTCAAGGATTTCGGCATGCGCGCGCGACGACGCGCGCGTGTGCAGTTTGTCTCATCTGTTGCAAGGGATTGTTGGCTGAAATCTTATGATTGTTGATACACGAGTGCGCGCGCATAGTATCTTTTCAGAGGATGACGGGGGGGCGATACGGGCCTGGCTGGGAAGGTTTTGATTCATAGTTCGGATGGACGGTGGGGCAGAACCATATGTAAATTGCAATACGAAAAAGGGGGTCGATAATCAATCAGAGGGGGGGGGTGAGTATATTCTCTGTTTAGAAAGGAAAATTTACGTGGTGCGATATATGTTGTGCACAGTAGGCGGTGCAATCTAGGCTGTACAGTCCATGTGGTGCAATGTATGCGGTTCAACCTATGTAGTGCAATCTACGTGATGCAATCTAATCGATGCACTTTATGTGGTGCAACCTGCACTCTCTGAGGTTCTATGTTGTGCTTGTGCAAAAGATGTTGTGCAAACTATGTGGTGCAAAATATTCTGAGCAATCTATGTTGTGCAGTCTATGTGATACACAATAGTCGCGATGCAATCGATGTGGTGCAATGCGAAGGAGACCCGTCGAGAAGGGGGGGTGGCTGGGCACGGTCAGTCGGACGGCTTCGACGGCCAAATCAGTGGCCATGCGAAGCAGACAGGAGTGGGGTGGTGGGACACGGACTTCAGACGCAGAAAGCGTTAGAAACCGGGCCAAAAACCAAGCTGGGCCACGAAGGGGGGGCAAGCGGCAGAGATGAGAGGGAACGGTCGGCCGGACGCTCAGAAACAAGGGCAGGCGGGGGCCCAGGCGAGGGAGGCTAAGAGGGGCATGTTCAGGTGGACGCGCAGACAAGCAACGGGTCAAGCGAGGTCTCCCAGGGGGAGGGGCACGGCCGGTCGGTCGCACGCTCGGAACAAGGCAACGCGAGAGCAGACCTGTCGGCATGATGACCCCACGGAGAGCGCTAATTGTTGCTGGCCGTCATTCGTTGTACTCGTCGCAGGGGCCAGGACAAACAAACGAAAAGGAGAAAAACGGAGACGACGATGACGACGACGACGACGACGACGACGACGACGACGACGACGACGACGACGACGACGACGACGACGACGACGACGACCGCGACCGTGCCCCCGCGAGACTGCGGCGCACGGGGGCGCTGGCCAACACGACTTTTTCAACCTGGGCGTTTTCTGTCGATTTCGGCCCCTGGGGCCCTGGCCACAAGGGCTGGCCACGGGGTGTGCGCCTGAGGCGAGCGGGCACGGTCGGAGTGGGCTTCCTAGCAGCAGCGGCTGGCAGCACGATGGCTGCCGGGAGCGAATGGGCACGCTTGGAGTGAGCTTCCCGGCGAGCTTCTGGGCGCCAGCACTGGCAGCGCGATCTTGGCGAGAGGCGAGCGGGCACCCTTGGCAACAGCGCTGGCCACACAATGGCTGGCAGAAGCAAACGGGCACGCCTGGAGTGGGCTTACTGTCTACAACGCGCGGAAGCGAGCGGGCACGCACGAAAGAGGCACGTGAGGCTTAGAGGGACTCGGTAGGGACACTGGCCCAGGGCACCTGCAATTAGTTAGTTAGCTACTAAGAAGGCAGCAAGAACGCTCTGGGCACGCCTAGCTCGGGAAAGCTGTAAATCTCTGTCCTCGAACCTCTGAAGCGAAGCAGCACCCATCACCGCGACGAGGTCAACTTTCTGGCTGCCGCATCTCATATCGCACAATGCTCTGCCCTCGCCTGGTATTCAGCGGAGAGGGACTAGCTCCTCACTCATTCTGCGTCGTCCCTTCTGCTTTGCTGCTCCTCCTTCCTACGAAACTCTTCAGCGCAACTAGACGGAACCATCGGGGACCCGGCAGGAAAGCAGCCCTCGCGGAGGAGAGGAGGACTGGCCGAACGGCAACCAGGAGACATGCTGAAGTGGGATCGGCCTTGCGGAGAAGAGGGGGGGGGGTGGCTGATGACGACGAGCGCAGGCCATTTTTTCTGGCGCGGCGGCTGCGCGCCATCGACCTGCAGGGGGGCTGCTAGTCTGGCTCGTGCAGCACCGGCGACAGGCCGCTGTGCAGCATGACCTGGTAGGCGAGCAGGGGCAGTCCTGCGGGCGCCCGCCGGGGGGGCGCACGAGAGAAGCGCGTGGCGCTCGCCTTTTTCGAGGGGACGCCTCCTCTGAGTGGCGGAGGGGCAGGACTGAGGAGGAGGAGGAGGAGGAGGAGGAGGAGGAGGAGGAGGAGGAGGAGGAGGAGGAGGAGGACGAGGAGGAGGGATGATCCCCCACCTCCTCACGTCGCGAAAAAAGCCGCAACGGGCGGCTTTTGGCTGTGCTTGGCCTCCGGGGGCCTTCGCCGGGCACCAAGACCACAAGACAACGGCCCGTGATGAAGGGCCGGTCCCAGGGAAGGGGTCGAGGTCTCCGAGCGTCGACGTTAGAACAACCACGACGTCGGAGCTCTGGCAGGAGAGCCCATAATAGAATCGATACAGCGGATTGGCGATCGAAATGATTCGGGTGGGCGGAAATCGGCAGCCAAGTCGGGAGGAGTCGCATCGGCGGAAATCGTCATGCTAGTAAGACCTCCATTGAGAAATCGGAATCTTTATTGGAATCCGAGATCGAGCTGAACCGTAATCGGAATCGTTCGGATTCGGATCGAATCGAGCCGAAAGAGTCGAAATGAGCCCTGCTATGGGCAGGGGAACGAAGAGGGTCATTGGATCGGGTCGGGCTGCGGAGTTGGGGCGAGGCGCCGAAGCCAGGGCTGCTTGGCTTCGCTGCCAAGCTTCGCTGCAGCAGGCCTCCGCGTGGCACATGTCCTGTGTATCGGTTGGGAGCAGCATGAGGATTGTGGTGAGGAAGATCATGAGGATGAGGTCTCGAGGGCAAGGGAAGAAGGACATAGGATTATGAGCCAAGGAAGGGGTCTCCAGGGAAGGGCAGGGCAACGCTAAGCCTATGGTGAGGAGGATAGTGAGGACGAGGTCGTGAGGGCAAGAGAGAAGCTTCGGGAGGAGAGGGAGGAGATGGAGAGTATGGGGAGGGATATGACATGGAGCAGGAAGATGAGAAGGATGATGATGATGATGATGCTGATGATGTTGGTGCTGATGACGATGATGATGATGCTAATGATGTCAATGATGATGATGATGTCAATGATGATGATGATGGTGATGATGATGATGATGATGATGATGATGATGATGAGAAGGAGGAGGAGGGGCCTCCACCTCGACGTACCTGATGCACTGGGCGCTCCGCTCTCTTGGTCTCCTCTTCTGCAGTGCTCGCCTCAGCTTCCCTCGTCCGAGAAGGCGGGGCGGCGTCTTAGAAAGAACCAGCCCCGTCCTACAGGCTGCCGAGGAAGCCGCTCAGAAGGCAGGATGGCATCCGGAAGGCGGGGTGCCTTCTTGCAAGACCGTGCCCCTGCCCCTTTGTCCAGGCCCCTCGTGCGCGTCGCCTCCTCCTCCTTCTCCTCCCAGATCCTCCTCCTTCTCTTCTCTTCCTCCTCCTCCTCCTCCTCCCCGATCCTCCTCCTCCTCCTCCTCCTCCTCCTCCTCCTCCTCCACAATTACTCAATATGAATACTACTCTCCTCGTTCCCCCGGTGACGGGTTGGGAGTGTTCGCCCCCCCCCCCACGCGTACTGTTTTTTTACACACAGGATTCTCCGGAGTTGGGTTTTCGCTTGCATTTTTTTCAAAATGCTGCTCTCGCTGAGGCGCCGGCCTCATTTTGGGCCCCGCTCGTTCCGAATCGTGCTCCCGCTGCAGCGCTGGCCTCATTTCCGTGCTTCCGCTCGTTCCGAGTCGTGCTCCCGCTGCAGCGCTGGCCTCATTTCCGTGCTTCCGCTCGTTCCGAATCGTGCTCCCGCTGCAGCGCTGGCCTCATTTCCTGTGCCATGCCACGGCATGCAATGCAATGCTAGGTTGCGTTCCGCTGCGCGATGCCATGCCTTCAGCTGAAGCTGTGATATGCAGTGCTTAAGTGCCACGTCGTGCTATGCCATGCTACGCTTTGATCTTCAACGCCATGCTATGCAATGTTATGTTCGGGGCCGCTGTGTGATGCCATGCTTTGCGTTGCAAAGCTTTCTGATGCAATTCTTCACTACGCCACGCCACGCCATGCTGTGACATACTACGCTTTGCGGTGCTCTTCTACGCCATGCCATGCCGTGCTCTACAATGCATCGCGTACCCTTTCGGGATCATTGCCCTTGCTCGACATCCGACTGTGCGAGTAGAGAGGGGATCTACGCCATGGTAAGGGATGGGAGGGAGGGGTAGGATGTCAGATATGACGCGAGCGCACCTAGCTTGTCCTCCTCCCCCTCCCCCCCTCCCTCTCCTCCTGTATCCTCCCCTCCTCATCCTCCTCATCTATCCTCTCCTCCTCCTCATCCTCTATCCTCTCCTCCTTCTCCTCCTCCCCCTCCTCCTCGGTCTGATGACTATGGCCGACATGCCAGCTCTCTGTGGACCTCCCTCCCGTCCCCTCGCGCTTGCTCTCTGCTCCTCCCCCCCTTGACCACGTCTCCCCTCGTCTGTCTCTACGTACCTGCTTTTCACCCTTGTAGGTTTTGCCTGGAGAGTGATGGTTCCTTATGTGCAAGTGAGCCTGGTAGTACTTTCACCAGCCCTTTAGGGCGTGAGTGGTATAGAGCGTTTCCTCTTCCAACCCCGCTTCTTCCCCTTCGGGGAGGGGTTATCCCGCCCCCTCCCCCCTCCCCCTGGACCTGGAGGGGAGGTTTCGCGGGTCGTTGGAGCGTCCAAGATGGCCTTGGCGAGAAGGCCAATGTCACTGACTTTCCTAAAACTCTGGCCACATTTTGGCCTCCTGAGGGGGAAACCCTGATTGGACGCCCCCCGCCTTCTTTGATCGATCATCTCCAAGATGGCCCCCACAGCTCCCAAGAGGGCCCCAAGAGGGTCCCAAGAGGCGCCCAGGAGGCAAAGCGGATGGCTTGAGCCCAAAACGGCTTTTCTTCCTCTGGATGCCTCGTCCTCCTCTTGATGCCTCCCAGATGGAGTCAGAGCAGATGAAGTCGGAGGATCACGCCGCATCGTCGATGCATCACCGATGCATCGGCGATACATCGGCGATGTATCGTTGACGTTGGCGAGGAGAAAATTTGGCTCCACATCGAGTCGCATCGCCGATTCGCCGCGATCCTTCGACCCCATCTACCCCGACCCCATGTGGGAGGCCTCGACCCTCCTCTTCCTCCTCCTCCTTCCCATCCATCATCGACAAGGCGGTCCGGCGACAGGTGCCATCGGCAACTTCCTGGCAAGCCCACTGACGAGGACGCGCCAGCGGGTGCGCGTCCCTGCGCCGTGCAAGAAGTGCGCCGCGACGCCCGCGGGGGACTCCTTCGGCGCCCATCGGCCGCTCTGGGCGCTGTCCCGCCGTCGTCGTCGTCGTCGTCGTCGTCGTCGTCGTCGTCGTCGACGTCCCGTCGACGCCGCTAACCCCGCCCTCTTGACAATCTCGGCTCGCATCCGAACCCCGCTTGGTGGAGGGCAGACGCCCACGCCAACAGATGCAGCCATCGAGCTGGGAATCTCGAGTCCCAAGAGACAACGTACTACACCGACAGCATGGCGCCCTGGCCTCAGGAACACTTCCCTGCAATGAATTCCGCCGTCCTTCCGCCGCATCAGAGCTCAGCGAACTCCCACCCCTGCGGCCACAGTCACCGTGCTAACATATCAACTACATAGCCGCCAGACCGACGCACAGGCCCAGTTCTGCAGAGCACAAACAAGGACCCCTACGTGCAGGCACTCTTTGGAGAATGCGGATGCCGCATTTGCCCATCCCCAAAATTTGACAACATCATGTCGAGCGTTGAGCTCGCACGGCAGATCTGCAGACATACATGACCATCGGGCTAGAGGATGGCCACCCGCGCCATCTCCGGGGTTGGCGCGTGGGCGCTGCACGCGGCGTCGCAGGGCCCGGGCTGGGAGGAGTGGGAGGAGGAGGGGGAGGAGGGGGAGGAGGAGGAGGAGGAGGAGGAGGAGGAGGAGGAGGAGGAGGAGGAGGAGGAGGAGGAGGAGAATTACTTCCCGTGCGTGGGCGCGAGATCGCTGGCCTGTCCTGACTTGGGTCCTGGCTACATTGATGCCTTCTTGAAGCGATCTTAGGCTCCTCTGGGGCCACGTTGGGGTCCCTGGGGCCTCGCGGATGCCTTTTGGGGGCCTGGGTGTCGTCTAGGGGAGCCTTGGGGCTGCCTTGGGGCGGACTTGTCCAGCATCGGAGTCATCTTCTGGGTCGTCTTGGAAGCGATCTTGAGCCCTCTTGGCGGCTCTTGTGGGCCTCTTGCGCCCTCTGGGAAGCCCCTGGCTCTCTCCTTGGAGCCGTCGTGATTTGAAAAGTGGATAGTGCCAAAATGTATGAGCACCTTTCGGGGACCCAGCGCAGAGCCATCATGAAGCCTCGTGGGACCACTTTGGCGCCTCTTGGGTCGTCTTGGAAGGTCGCTAGACAGCCTTGGGCACCTCCTGGAGCCTCGCTTGGAGCCTCTGCGGTCAATCATCTTGGCGGCCTCTTAGCGTCCTCTGAGGCCATCAAGATCCCCGTTTGGGCCTGTTGGATTGAAGATCCGTCATCCTGGGCGAGGCACGGCGTGCTACACTCTGGGCCTTGGCGAATCAACCCCCTTCACGCTTGCCCCAATGACTCGCTTCGCCCAACGGATCGCACGCGAAATGCGCACTCCGTCACTTGGCCAGCACGGGGACGTCGAGCACCTTCCCACTGAGAGGACCCGAGATCATTGGCGTGTCCTGCCTTGTGGCACCATCTTGGGCCTCAGGTGTGCTCCGACTTCTGGCATCCTTCCGGCCTCGTCGACTACGGCTTCGATTGTCCCGTGTCCGACGACCAGGCTGTCTGCACCGAGGTCCGCAGTACCCTCTACGCTGGCCTCAGTGGTTCACCAAGACGATCGTGCGCTGCATCGTGGACGCCGTCCTCCTCGGCTGTCTCACGAAGCTCTCATGGCCCAGGCGGACGCCACCCGTGCCAGTGCAGCTGCCCTGCTGAAGGAATTTGATGATGAGGATGAGGCTGAGGGCATGGGCTACATCTGAGGACCTTGGCCTTCCTCCTCTCTTCCATTTTTCCCTTCCGCGGTCAGCGATCTTCCTCTCCTCCATCCCCTCCCGCCTGTCTATGCGTACGTAGTTGGTTGGGGGAGGAGGTATGAGATGATTGGAGGTGGAGGAGTATGTAATTGCACTCTGCAGAACCTTTGCAGGGCTGTTCCAGAGCAATTGATGCACCTCTCAACCAGGAGGTGCGTGATGTAGTGGAGCACTCTTCGGGCCCCCGTGGTTCTCGTGCCCCGTTTTCTTCGGTCGGGTCCCTCGCTCGGCGTTGTCTGGGTCCTGGGTTTCCGTCCCTCGCTTCTTTCGGCCCCTTCCTCGGGCCCCTCGCTCGTCGTTTCGGCGCCACGGGCAGGAGTGTTCGGCAGACGATCACCCACGAGCAAATCAAAAAAATCAAAATCAAAAAATGGAAGTAACCCGAGACACAAACGAAAAGTCGCTGTTCGCCGCAGCCTGTGCACGCACAGCACCGCTTCTTATTCTACGCCCTACACCTGGCTATGGCGACCAGTTGCCAAACTCGAAGGGCGGCGGTGTCTACCCCGCGGGGTTCGCTCAATGCTGGATCGTCGAAGTGCGTGTCGAACTGTACGGTGCCAGACGAACAGACAACGCATTGAGGATTCTACATCCAATCTAACCCTCGGCGTTTTGTCCTCGTCGTCCTGCTCCCACTGCCGCTTTGGCTTTTGCTTCTGCTTCCTGCTGAGCGGTTGCATGGTACGCAGGGAGCTTGCAGAGGCAGCGGGGGGCATGGAGAAGCAAGGAAAAACAAACCAGGAAAGGAAGGAGCAGAGCAAGCGCCGTCCAGGACCGATCACCCCCTCCACGGCCGAGGAGCCCGCTGCTGCTCCTCGTCCTCGTCCTCTCGTCGTCGTCGTCGTCGTCGTCGTCGTCGTCGTCGTCGTCGTCGTCGTCGTCGTCGTCGTCCCCGTCCTCGTCGTCGTCGTCGTCGTCGTCGTCGTCGTCGTCGTCGTCCTTGCCCTTGTCTTCATCCTCGTCCTCAAAAGGCGACGAGATCTATGCATACCCACTGCCCCTGGCCGGCCGGGCCCACCCTGGAGAAATGTGTTCGCCGAGGGAGGCAAAACCTCCTCTCCTGGGCCCGGGATGGGCCTGTCTTGGGGCGAGCTTGAGGGCTCTTGCGGGCGAGCTTGAGGGCTCTTGCGGGCGTATTGGAGGTTATCTTGAACCTTCTGATCAAGAAAACAATCAATTACGACATCTGGGCCAACTTCCCGGAAATTTCTGAAAGCAAGCCTGGGCCAATTTCTGCCGTTCACGCTGAAGGGGCGAACGTTTTCAAAAAACTGTGCCCGATTTGGGGCAAGTTGGCTAGGAAGCGCCAGCATAACTTTTCGGGAGGAGGTTTCTTCATCAGATGCTTGTCTGTAGATGGAACGATCTCGGGGGCCGTCTTTGGGCTCTCTGGGGCCCTCTCAGAAGACGCTTGGGGCTAACCCGGACCCTCTAGCACCCGACCAGGGGTGACCGTTACGTGCAGACCTCGTCGCCCGAAGCTCCCCTAGAAGAAGAAAAAGAAAGGCACAAACATAAACTCTTGGCGCTCCGCGCGGACTTCTTGGATCTGCGCCGGACCCCCCTCCCTGGCGCGCGGAGCGCGCCAGGGGCGCCGCTGGGGGGGCCCAGCGCGGATCCGAGAAACGTCTTCGCGGTGTTTTTTCTTCTTCGGTCCTCCCCTCCGTTGCCGAGAAGGGGAGGAGGAGGAGGAGGAGGAGGAGGAGGAGGAGGAGGAGGAGGGGGAGGAGGAGGAGGAGGAGGAGGAGGAGGAGGAGGAGGAGGAGGAGGAGGAGGAGGAGGAGGAGGAGGGGGAGGGGGCCTGCCTGCGTCCTGCGCGCCACGTGCCACACGAGCACGTTCTCGAGGGGCGTGCTCACCGCGGCCAGCACCACGCCCGCCGCCGAGGCCGCGGCGGCCCACGCGATCATGTCCTGCGCGGGCCAGCCCCGAACAAGGCAGGGGGAGGAGGAGGAGGAGGAGGAGGAGGAGGAGGAGGAGGAGGAGGAGGAGGAGGAGGAGGAGGAGGAGGAAGAGGAGGCCGAGCAACTCACGTTCACGTTGATGGCAACAGGGGGCGTGTTCCGGGAAGGGCCTGGCCTTCGGTGCGTCTCGCCCTCGGCGGGAAAGCCAGCGGAAGCAAAACGGTGGCAATGCCTCGCTGGCGGAAGGCAACGTACAGAATTCGAGAAACAAACTTCATTGGATCTGGGGTTTCTGGAATCAACCGGCTGTGATGGTAATCGTGCCCGTGGTCTTTCCCCCCATTCCACGCTTGAACATCCTCTCTGCTTGGTGGTCGTGTTTCTTCTTGCCGCTCTCCTTCTGCCCCTCCTCTCTGCCCGAGCAACTCGATGCCGTTAATAAAGGCGGGTACCTCGTCGGACCTAGCCTACTTGCCAGCACGTGCTCTTGCATCATTGATCGTTCGAAGTTGGATGACAACTTGATCTGATCACTCACAGCCTGGTTAAACCTTTTTATGCTCCGTGCGCGCGCACTCTAGTCGATCTTATAAGAAGATCGTCAAATGTATACAGCGTTCGAGTCGACCAACAAACTGTCCACGACTTGCATATTGCCTTATTATCCTAAGGTGGCCCTTTCAATCATGAGCGTTGCGTTCAGACACAGACGTCGAGAGGCTACACATTCGTGTGCACCTGCCACCGTAAGAGAACTCGCCATCATGACTATGTCGCGGCCTTGGCGCTGAGGTCCGTATGTTCAGATCCCTGCGTCTTTTTTATATACTACGAGCTTCAGAGAAGCCTGGCCAGAGTAGCAATGCTGCTGGTCTGGAAAGCCACGCGACATTCTCTCTCTCACACACACACACGAACGCACCTGACTACTCCCATAGAGAAACGCTTGTGACTATTCCCGTCGTCGTCTCTCCCCAACACGTCGGAACCAAACCGTCACCACCTTTCTCAAACACCTGCTTTCCTCGTCCATGTGTTCGACCTGTCTTCTCTAGAGGCTTTATGCCCAACGACCTGAATAATCAGTGAGATATTCGTGGCATGCTACACAAGCGAGTGAGAGGCTCAACAAATCAATGCTAGTAAGAGCTGGTTTCGAACCCATGCTGCTTGCACCAAGCGGATACCGCTGAGAAACACATCTCGCCACCTCTACCGACCGCATGATGTGACACATCGCACAGTCCACCAATGTCAAGCCAATCCAACTACGCTAGCCAGAGTGCCGTGTCCTACCATGCACCAACTTGGTTCGCCACACACCTTGAGTTGCAAGGCAACCTGTACATAATTCATACCACGTGGTTATCGGGAAGCAGACTCAACCAGGTATGCGCATGCAAGTCCTGGATGGATGCCTTAAGTTGTGGTATGCACGCTATTGGAATGCGTTGCACATTAGACAGATGTTATGCTCCGTGTCGCCTGACCATGTAACATCTATGTGTGTGCATATCCTCTGACCGAGCTGTTCAAACTTTGGTGATGGTCCTTCCCCTCGAAACATTATTTTGCTATTCCTACTGCGGGTCCTTCTTCCCAGACGGGTCGATGTGAGCACGTGTGGCAGAAGTTGCCCTTGTCTTTAACCATTCGTTGCTGGCAAAGAACGCAGACATCGAGAACATCTCCTTCTCTGGGGGGTCAGAACTGCCTCTACTTACGCTCCCTGCTCCTGTGAACTCGCTGCTTCCATATCTTCCTCCGTGCAAGCATTTTTCTTCCCGCTTCTTTTGCACACACCTCCTCACGCTCTCAGACTGCGTAATGAAGCCATTTCCTCTCCATCGCTCTCGCTCTTCATCATCGTGTTCTCCTTAAACTTCTTGCTTGGATCTTCCCTTTTGTGCACGACCTCTCTACGCTCCTGCGTTCTAGAACTATTCGGGGCAAGAAACGTCACGATGCCAATGTGCGGCACACAATCTGGACTCATACGAAAGAGTTCTAACGAAAGGTGGGGGTGGGGCACCCTTAAATTTTGAGCGCCAAGCCCGAGCTTGAAACTCCAATACTGGCCATCTTTGTGTGGTACGTGCCATGCGGACCAAGAGGGCACAGCAACAAAAATGCAGTCCAGTCGCTCAGCACTTCTTTGAATTGCTTTAGGGTAGAAGGTTGCGTTCTACATTAGCCTTCTCATCAACAGTGGGAATAGACTTCCTCCTCCTCCTCGTCCTCCATCCTCATGCCACAGGGCGCCGCATTCAATGCGTAGCCTACGCCCAAACCGTGGCCGCCTACGGGGATACTCAAGGAGGTGAAGGAAAGCAAGAGAGGGATGAAACAGAAACTCGAAGTGTGGTAATGTCCACAAGAGGGGGTCCTTCAGTATGAGCGGTCCAGAGGATGCTGGATCGAAGCCCACTCGATCCTCGCCAGCCACACCTCACAATCGAATTTCCTGGGAAGATATTTGGGATCCGGTCCTGAACTAACTGAATTTCCCAACTTCGCGCGCATCGCACCCCGCGATTACTTTTGTGCCTTCGCGCCGCCCCCCCGTGGAGAAGGGCAACCGCTCTGGCACAGAACGCGACGCGCGAAACGCGATTATATTCGCGCCCACCCCTCGGGGTGACATAGGGCAAACCCTGAGGTCCAATTTTAAGGGAACGTTAAAACACCACGAGGAATCACTACCAAATCCCTCGGCCCCATCTTTATGCGGCATTTTTCCAGCCGGATCGATCTGTGACGGTCCCGCGGGGCGAAACCACCCGAGGTGAAACACCGGTACCGCCAGGATGTCAGGGAACATGGTCGGAAACTTTTGCCTCGCGTGTCGCCACGGTGGCCCCAGCGACACGCTGCGCCCTCGGGACGTTGACGCTCGAGGATGGGAAAGTGGATAGCAGGTCGTGCCGAAGCGTGGTGGGCCAGAACTGGCGGAGCGACACGCTACCCAAAAGTTCCCGACCGTAAAAGATGCACTGCAAAGAAACATGCAATATCTCTATCTTTTCGCGTACCATACAGACGCTCTGCGGTGGATCAGGGATGCAATCTGTATAGCTCACGTCGCCGGGGATTTCGGGGAGGCACTTTTGCACGATTCTCCTGAGGAAACCTTGCTTGGAACTGGACTCGCAGCACACGTCGGTCGGAAGAAGTAGGTAACCACATGAAGTAGGAAGGCGGATCAAGTAGATTTGGTCCAGGCCCTGCCAGAGAATAACAAAACACAGCAACAGCACATCGATCCTTGACATGGGAAGGCGCTTGAAGCAGAGTGGGGTCTGGGAGTCTCAGAAGACGTGGTTTCAGCGACTGGCATGTGGATGGGCTCGGAGGATCGCGCCACATCCCAAACTTCCCGACCGTAAGCCGACACCGCGCCCGCGACGTCTCGCCGTGCAGAGGCGCGGCCCGCGGCCTGCCCCACGACGTAGGGCAGATTCCGGAAGGCGCCGCGGACGCCCCCGGGCCGCAGCGCCGCCACGGCCGCGGCGAAGCTGCGGGGGCGGCCGCTCGGGTCGGTGCCTGCACTTTTCTGTTGGCTTTTTTTCAGTGTCTTGCTGCTCGATCCTCATGCTCCCATCTGTCTCCCCCCCCTCGCCTCCTCTCGTCGCAAAACAACAGTCGCAGCGGGCGGCTTTGGGCAGCTCTCGACCTCCGGGGGGGGGGGGGGGGGCCCTCACCGAGCCCCGGGATAAAACAAAAAAAAACGAGTCAGGTCCTGGGGAATGGGTCCAGACTTTTTGGGGTCCACGTGGTTAACAAAAGCGACGTCGGAGTTCTGGGCTTCTGCTATCCTCGCGCTGTCCCCTCCGTGCTTCCGCCTCGTTTCCTCCTTCTCTCCATGCTGCTGCCTTTCCTGTTGCTGCTATTTTCCGCTATTTGCCGCGCCATGAAGGGTTTGATCCCTGAAGCGCATCGCGGCGGCTGCTGCCGCCGACCGAGGCGCCTCCGCGCCCGAGCCTAGCCGCACACGCGGCCGACGCGCGGGCGCCTTCGGCGCCGGGGGGGGGGGGAGGGGGCCCCGCCCAGGGGAGAGGAAGGGGCCTCCAGGATCTCTCGGGGCAAAGGAAGAGCGGGGGGGCGAGGCCCTAAAGATGGGAAAGGCCAGGCACCAGAGGACCCCGCAAGGAGGGAGGAAACAGGCCGACGGGGGCCCCAAAACGCGGGCCCCAAGAAGGGGAGCGGGGTCCAATGGTCTACTACTCGCCCCCAGGCCCGGCGCGCTGCCACCCAGGATATCAGCCTAGCAGCTGCAACACCTGTCCTGGGCGGCAGTGCCCAGGCCTTGGGGCACGGTGGGCCAGGGCTCGCCTGGCGTGCCACCCCCTTTACCCCCCCAGCACAGGGCCCGAACCAGGAAACCAAAAGTGGAAGATGAGGCGGCTGGGGGTAAGGGGGGCGGCACCAAATTATGTCCCTCGGGACCCCGACGGCTCAGCCCCCTCACTGGGCCACCTCGGTGGTCGGTGGTGTAGTAGTAGAGCATGATTCTGTCGCCCTCGAGCTTGTGGTACTCGACTCAGTCCTGCTGGTCGAAATCGTGTGATGAGCCTTCTCCATTTGCTCCATTCACTCCATTCAACTCAGCATCGCTGATCCAGTGGTCGTCTGTCTCGATGATGGTAGGATCTTTGTACTTGGCTCGGTCGCCTTGGTCGAGTAGCACTGTTTGACTGTGTTGGGCTCAGGCTCTGGTACTCGTCTCAGCCGATGAGGTAATTGTCGTGCTGGTTAGGGTCGATGGGGGCCGGCTTGTTGCTGGTAGGTGGAATAGATTGTGGGCGCACTCAGGCCTCCATGCACCGACTTCAAGTAGGGTTCGTGGCGGCCCTACCTCGTCCCGCTATGGCTAGGGGTCACGGTGCCCTCGGTGGGGGCGAACCCCAGGCCAAGTGATTCTTGCTGTCGATGAGGAAGATCAACGCTGCCCTATGCTTCGCCCTTGGGCGCTCGGGAGCTCCGTCTCCGCCATGGGAATGGTGGGGGTGGCGAGCTAGGGCGGACCGCGGGGGCGCGGGCAGTACTCGTCCTGCCCCCCCCCTGCCCCTCACCATCCCCCCTGGTAGGCGCGGGCAGTCCTCGTCCTGCCCCCCCGCCCTTCGAGCCCGTCTCGAAGTTTGATCCTTGCCTCACCAGGGCAGCGTTGACTCGTACTTGGTGCAGTTGGGGTAATCTGGCTGGTACCTCTGAGCCCTGACTGAACGGCGGCCGTGTCCGTCAAGTGCAAAACGTGGCGACGTGTGCCTGGGGTGTTCCCTCGCATTCGGGGCTTCCCCAGGACTTGCGTCCTGATGACTTGTGCAAAACTTGACGACGTAGCCTGAGGTGTTCCCACGCACTCGGGGCTTCCTCAGGACTTGCGTTCTGATTCTTTTGTACTTGTCGTCAGGGCGCATCGACGCGATCCGCGTTGTCAGCCTGTGCCCGAACAGCTCCTGTCGAGGTGGTGGCCCTGCCGATTGCCTTGCCGGGTCGGTCCTGCCGGGCCCACTCCCTTGCCTCTTCCAACCAGGTCGGTGAGCCACTCCGCCTCGCTGGGCCCCGATGGTAGTCCTGACCCATCTCCCTGGTCTTGTAGCGGTCGAGCGGCTGGAAGAAGTGGGCCACGTCGTCGTCGATGTGCCACCCCTGGACGTCGCTAGGCGACTCGCCAAAGCGCCACCTTATCTGCTTCGCCAGTGCGGTCGCGATGGCCTGGCACATCCTGTTCGGGTACTCCTTGGCCGCCGCGGTGCGCCACTGGCCGTCGTCGTTGATGCCTGCCAGCTCCGCGTGGTAGGAGGCCGTGTGAAAGCACCTCCCGCTTCCAGGCAGTCTACTGATTTCTGCTCGGAGGGTTGGTAGGGATACCGCCATCAGGCTTGTGGACTTCCTCGAACGCGCTCCACAGGTGCACTGGTCGAATGTGATCAGCTCGACTCCCTGCTGGTTCAGGAGGTGGCGCGTCTCGGGAAGCTTCCAGGAGCTGGCGAAGTGCTCCTCGGTGGGCTCGGACGGGTGCTCGAGCATGCCTGGGACTCCCAGGTTGAGGCACATGTACATGAGCTCCAGCTGTGTCCTGTATAGGCGGTTGCCTGTCGCTACTTGCTCCATCTCTGGGCGGGAAAGGTAGCGAAGGCCCCACAGGCTGCTGCTGCTCCTTAGGGGTCTTGGTGGCCGACCCCTGCAGTCATTGGGGGGCAAGTGGCGCGCTCGGCTCCAGGTCTCGCACGGCGGTCCGCCGATGACTCCTGCAATTCTTCCTGCTTGTGCCATGTCTCGCCACTTGCTGACTGCGACTTCTGATGTCAGGTCGCCGAAGGTCGGGTCGTTGGCGATGTCCAGGCTGAGCATGTGTATGTCGCAAGCAGCCCGACTGCTGAGGCGGTCGAACCAGTCCTGAACATCTCCCTCTCGGCGACGGCCGCTGAATAGATGCAGCACGTATAGCGTCCGAGCTGGTCTGGGCCTCGGTACAGCAGCTGGCGGCGGTGGCGGCTCCTCGATGAAGGGGAGCTCTAGGCTCTCGTAGTGGCCGCCGTTGCTGTCGTCGCTGTCCTCGTCCGTATGTATTTCTGGAGGACGAGCAGGGACTGCAGGCTTCTCTGCCCAGTCGATGGGCCTGCCCGCCCTTCGGTTCGCCTGCTGCTGGTCGCGGACAATTTGCTGGTTGTGCTGCAGCTCGGCTCTACTTAGGATTGCTGGACGCGTCTTTCGCCAATGTCGAGCGCACCTGCGCACTCTCAGCAAGTGTTTGACCAGCCTGTTTGTAGTATGGTAATCCATGCCGCATCCGTAGCAGACCGAACCAGTTGCCCACGAGATAGGATGACCCGACGAGGTGTGGTCCTTGGTGATGTGTGCTCGTAGCACTGCTGCACTGGCTTCGGTACGTCCGCAGTGGTAGCATAGGTACTTGCGCTGCTGCTCGAAGTGCTGGTCTGGGAAGGGCGAGATGGCTTCCGTGTTGGTCCACCGTTGGAGTCGAAGCCGCCATCGAGCTTGGTAGTCGTGATCGTACTGGCGAGCTTTGCCACGTTGGCAAGCTTTCTTTACTGCGCTGAGGTAGCTTTGGTAGTCGTTCCTGGCCCAGTCCTTCCAGTCCTCGAGCGTGTATGCTCCACCACGCTCGTCAGGTCCTGTGTGGTCGCGGACCCAGTCTAGGTCGCGGCGGAGCAGTGCCACCCAGCCGTAACTACCATCCCATGCTTGGCTAAGTAGCCGGCGGAGGTGCAGGGGTCCCCAGTAGAGGCATCTGCCAAATAGTCGTAGCCTCTCAAGTCGCAGGACTATCTCTGGGGGCAGCTTGTCGACCCCTTCGAGAATCTGGGTGTTCGTTACCTCCTTTTTCTGTCGTACTTTCCAAGTGATCCTTTGCGCGGCAGCGTAGTTGACGATATACTGGTTGTTGAAATTCCTGGCCTGGCCTGCGGTGAGTTCGGGCCAGGTAGACGCATTGTAAAGTAGCTGGGATAGCACCACACTGTCGGCTAAGTAGGCCTTGTCTTTGATGGCCAGCTCTGGTCGCCGGTGGACTTCGCGATGGAGAGGCCTCGTGGATGTCGCTGCAGTGGCTACCTTCACTGCGACATCCACCCCAGGGGATGCATTGTCGGTCACGTAGGTCCCGAGGAGCTTGTGGTGACGAACCACCTCGACGTAACTCTCTGCAAGGGGGACCTCGATCCTCGGCACTCCCTCGGAGTAGAAACTGGCCCGCGCTTGCCGGCTCCCAGGCCCACTGAAGTCGATCATCACCTTGGTCTTGGTGAGCTGCAGCTGGAGGCCGAAGGTGCTGGCGGCGCAGTAGACGGCTTCGCAGAACCCGGTGGCCTCATGCTGAATGTGGTCGGGGCTGGTGAACACGTGCATGCCCGTTAGGTCGTCGACGAACGATAGGCCATGTGGTTCATGCTCCTGGAGTGGCCCATCTGTGGGGTCGGTGTCGCATGCGAAGCTGCTGTCAAGAGGCTTGCCCTGAGGTCGTAGCCCTCGCTGCGCAAGGTAGCTGTCAATCATGCGGTGGACTCGGCCGAATAGCAGATTGAAGTCCGCGTCGGCCAGGGGCACGCCAGGCCTCGTGCCCTTGTGCGGCGCCATAAGGTTCTGGGAGAACCTGTGTGATGTCCACCTGTTGCGGTATCCTTCTGCAATGAGGGCAGCCAAGTGGGAGCCGTCCAACACTGTGTCGAGTATCCCTGGGTTGGCCATGAGGTGCTCCAGCTGCGGCTGGGCCCACAGGGGAACCTCGAGGTTCTCTAGCACCTCCTTGACTTCGTCCTCCTCTCCTGGGATACCATGAACCTGCTGGACTACAACCGAATAGAAGGCCTCCTTTAAGTCGTAGCAGCTTATCATGGAGCACTTCCCTTGGGCCTGACTTCTCTCTGTGAAGAGGCGTGCTGCTAGGACCGCCATGTCCGCCCCTCGCTTGGGCCGGCCGCCAACCAGGATGTCCTCCAGCGCTATGGCGAGGGTAGTGTTGAGCATGGTCCTTAGGTATTTGTGGTGGTGCTTGCCCATGACGTTGTTTAAGAGGATCTCGCGGTAGGCTTGGAGGTACCTTGGGTCGCCTTTTCCTTTGGGAATTGCGACCAGGTCTCCACCCTTGAAGCTCAGCGGCTCTCTCACGGTGGTCGCCACCTTGGTGAAGAGGGGGTGCAGTAGCCTCGCTGCCTCTGTGGGGGCCGCCCTGAGGACAGCGTTCGTGAGCCCGTCGGGGCCTCCTTGCGTCCCAGCCTTGGCCGCGGCGAACTGGGCCTGGCAGACGGCCAGGGGCATCACCATGGAGAGATCCAGCATGCCGTCGAAGGGCCTGATCTTGCTGTCGTGATTGTACTTGTTAGCAAGATCATCCGCTGTCACGATCTTGCCCGCCTGTATCTTCGCGAAATGGTTAAGCTCCTGGTCCGCCATTTCCTGGGAGTTGTGGATCACCTCTCCATCCTTGTCGAGCCGCATAGGCTTTCCTGCTGGGAATTTCGCCTTCCTCCCTCCATACCTTAGTAGGTCTCGGTAAGCCTTCCACTGGACCGCAGCGTCGTTCGCAGCGGAGGCGGAGGACGCTGTCGAGGCAAGCCGACTGAGGAATGCGCTGCGGTCCTTCTCGACGGCCGCGGCAACTGTGGGCCCAGACCTGGTGGGGAAGGAAAGGATGGCCATGGCGTAGACCATGGGCGAGATTGTCCAGTTCAGGAGGAGGTGCGCGTAGTGGTGGATGTCGTGGATGGTGCCATCGTCATCGCCACGCTCTCTGCTCCAAAGGGAGAGTGAGTCCCCTACTTCGCCTGCACGAAGAGGATGGGCGTGGGCTACTAGTCGTCCAGGTCGGTCGTCGTGGGCTTCTCCTCTGAGCACTGCACGGTGGACTCGGAGTGTGAGGCGCCTGGCTCGGATCAGGCCCATGGTAGTCTTGGTGACGTAGGGCTTCCTCGTTGCCTTGGCGGCTTTGCCGAAGGCCTGGATGGCCGCGTCGTTGACGACCCTGGTGACCTCCTCGCAGTGGGTGTTGACGTCCACCTCCCAGGGGATGATCGGGGCCTGCTTGAGAATCTCCTTGAAGCTGGCCTTGGCGACGTCATTGTTCAAGTTGGTCAGGTCGGGCCTCGGTCCTGAGACCTTGGTGGTCTTGCAGACGGCCCACTTGAGGGTGGCTAGTACTGGTATGTGGTCTTGTGCAGCTGTGCCTCGGTCCAGACCTGGCTCCGTGCTGCAGCTCGCGACGTACGGGGCGATCGAGGAGCTCAGCAGGATGTAGTCTATCCTGTGGTGTTGCCCCTTCGATCCGACGTGCGTATATGAGTTGTTGCCTGGATCCCTCGTGGTGTTGATGACCTCCATGTTGGTGTCGGCAGCGAAGCTGATGATGTGCTTGCCATTGCCGTTGGTCGCTTCTGGGTACCCACTGGTGCCAACTCCTGGGGACTCGTAGTCGCCAAGACGCCCGTTCAGGTCCCCCGTGAAGATGTCCACTCGGTACTTGTCAGACAATCGCTGAGCAGACTCCCAGAATTCTCTCTTCTCCGCCGCGTGGGAGTCTTCGTGGGGTGCGTATGCTGATGCGATAACCATGTCTGTGCCTGCAACGCGGGTCTTGATGATCAAGAGCCTGCCGTGCTGGTGGAGGACGAGGGCGTCTTTGGCACTTAGGTACTTCGCTGCCCACTCGCGCTGATTGGTTGGGAGACGTTGAGCCAGATGTCGCATCCTCTGTTCTGCTGCGTGTGGCCTGATGAGTAGCAAACGTATTCACCTACATTGCGGACGTCTCCTTCGCTCTGCGTCTCCTGCAGGGCGACGACGTGCAGGCCCATGTCAGCAAACTGTGCTGCTAGGTGCGTGACCTTGGAGAGGCTCTGCTTGCTTTTGCCGGCCGCCTTGCCTTTGCCCGACTTGAAGCTAACGGTGGCCTTGAGTGATCTACAGTTGTAGGTGCACAAATTCACGTTGAGGTCGGCCTTGATGGTGGTGGTGCTGATGGGCCTCTGGATCGCTCCTGGGGCTGCCTGCGGCTGGGTGGCCTCGATGATGAAGTCTTTGTTCCGCAAGGGCGGGTATGCGGCCTTGACCGCATCTGGCTCTGATCGCAGCCATTCCCAGGAAAGGAACTTGTTGTGAGCGATCGCCTGCACTGCTGCAATGTTCGGGTCCATCAGGTCGCTGGCCGAAGCTTGATCTGCTATCCCATCTGCGAGCTCGTTCCAAGGGTGCCCGATGTGCGAGTTAATATGGTGCCACTGGGTAGGTCGGGCTTGTTGGAGGAGGCCTGCAAGCGTGCGAATGGCGGCCCCCAACCTCGGATGTACGTGGCATTGGGCTTCGCCTTTGGCCAGGTTGATAACGTTGAGGGCGTCGGGCGTGATCTCGATGGGCGCGTCGGTGTCTTGACCAAGGGCCCACATCAGTGCCCAAAGTACTGCCGCGAGCTCAGCTGTGTATGCCGTCACCTTCTCGTTGTTTGCCATGTCGTCTAGGGTCTCGGTGACCTTGCCAGCAATGAAACCCCGAAAGCCGAACGGGCCTCGTAAGTTGCGCCCGTCGTCGTACTCGTCGACAATGACAACTGCCCAGGCGGCTGGATGTGGGATGCCGTTGTAGCTGCCGTCCGTGTAGATGTGTGTCCGCCTGGTCGGCAGCTCGCGTGATGGGCACATCTCCAGCGCCATCCTTGCCATGCTGTGCAGGGTCGTTGTGTCGACGTCGTCGCAGACGTTGACGCGGCCTCGGCCGCGAAGGGTCTCGGCTACTGGGTCTTGGCTGAGAACTGGCAGCACTGTCGCTTGGCCTCTTTCTCGTGCTGTCGTGGTGGGGAACTGCCGTCGCCTTCGGCCACGCCTGGCCCTCTCTGCATTGACGTACTCGGGGGAGTACTCGATGTCGTCGCCTGGCGCCAGCCCCATGCCCTGTAGAATGGGACCTTGTGTAGTGGTGATGTGGGCTGGAGGTGGCTGTGGTGTCGGAGAACGTGTGGGTGGGGCTGGTGATATGGCCCCAGCCTGAGGCGCACTCCGCTTCACGGGTGGTAGTGATGGCATTTGGCTCCCCTCATCGTAGTTCAAGTTGTCCGATCCAGCCCGCGCGGCCTGACTGAACAGGGGCTCGCGTGATTGGGCGTGGAGCATGCTGTCACGTAGACGATGAGGTTCGCCATCCAGGGCGTCTGGGTGGTTGGTAGCACCCGTGCCGTGGTGGGAGCGCGCTGCTGCCGAGGGGAGCGTTGGCTTCCACCTGCTGGACCGTGGTGTGCTGCTTGGGTCCGTCGGGACTGGGGCCACTGGTGCTGCTGGTTGAGCTGCTGAGTCCGTCGGGTCTGGATCCACCGCCAGAGCATGGTACTTGTTGTGGATGCTGCTGTTGTCCCGACGACTGTGGCTCTCCGCAGCGCGCCGTGCGCGGCGTGCACTCCGCTGGGCTGATCGGAAGGCTGCGTCTGCGCGCGCTTGCTTCCACTCCTCGTAACATTGCTGGGGCTTCCACCCCAAAATCCCCAATCCTGTCCTCCTCGCTACACTCCTTCCTCCCCCTCCTCCTCCTCCTCCTCCTCCTCCTCCTCCTCCTCCTCCTCCTCCTCCTCCCCCCTCCTCCTCCTCCTCCTCCTCCTCCTCCTCCTCCTCCTCCTCCTCCTCCTCCTCATCATCATCCCCCGCCTCCGCCCCCTGGCCCCCTCGAGTTGTGAAGCAATCGTGACGGGGAGTTGTTCGATACTTCCGGCCCCCGAGGGCCCTTGCCGGCCCTCGGGACCGTGAAACCACGGCGCAGGATGAAAGATGGCTGGTCCGGGGGAGCGGGTCGAGACCTTCGGGGGTCGACGCTAGGAAACAAAGAGAGCATGCTGACGTCGGGGGTGGTCTTCAGTCGGGCCCGTCCCTCTACAGGAGGAACATGCACAAGTAGCAGAAAATAGCCTGGGGACTATTGTTTCAGTGTTTTTGACCATGTGGGCGTACTTTTGCGTATTTTCTATTCTTCGTCGGAATTCTCTCCCTGTGGGGGGGACGCGCCCGACCCGAGGGTGGCCCGTGCTCCCCGCGCCCGGGCCCCCGGACGTCATGCATCCTTCCCGGCGTGGACCCCCAGCGGTCTGCGCCCCTCCCCCCCCTTAGGACCGGCTGCTCGTCCCGAGCCGCTCTTCGACGGCCCTGCGAGGGCCAGGGAGGGCCCCCCTCGGGGGCGGCAAAGAGGGGGGTGAGGACTAAGGGGGGGGGGATGTCATGGCGTGGGCCATGAGATCTCCCCAGATCTCATGGCGCCTCGTCTTCTCTGATTACGTCCCTGGCCCCCCTTGGGCCGCGCACATGCCGCCGGTCATGATGATTGGCGCCCCCCCCCCTCTGACGCCCTCCTCTTGGCCGCCCCCGACCCCCGGAGGCCGAAAGCGTTGGAAAGCCTCCATCCTGAATTTTGTCACGGCGCGATCCTGTCTGGGCAGGTGGTGAGCTGGGGGGTCGATGCGACCCCGCTTGTGGCGAAAGGCTCCCCGCCATGATGTCTGCATAGCCCGAGGGGGTCTGGGGTTCTGAGGTCCGAGCTTACCTGAGCCTTGCCCACCAGAAAGGGTGTCGAGCACCAAGAAAGTACCGAAACTGGAGGGGTTGCACGTGCCGGGGCCTAAGGCTAAGGCTAAGGCTGCGCCTGTGTCGTCCCAGGGGGGACGGCCCTACGCGGGGCTAGGCGGTGGCGCCAGGGCACCGGCATCACTCGAACGTCTCATAGCCGGATATGACAATCGGGGCTGGGGTCGGTGAGATGGGAGCCGGAGTCGGAGAGATGCTCGTTCGACACTGCTTCGGTGCCTCCCTGGGTGCTCGAGATGGTTTCTGGGATGCGGTCCTGCACCACGATGGGCAACAACCGAAGTCTGGGGACGCGGCCCGCCGCCGAGAGGAGGAGGAGGAGCCGGAGGGGCAGCAGCTCGCGGAGGCCTCGCAGGCCGAGGGCGAGGCGGCCGCGGAGGGCGGCGAGGCACCGGCGGCGCCCGAGGCGGCCGCGCAGCGCGGCGCGGCAGCGCCCGCGCCCGAGGCGCCCCGCGCGGAGGAGCCGCCCTTGCTGTGGGGCCTGGCGTCCTCGGTGCTGCGGCCCCGCGTGCGCCGCGCAGGGGGCCCGGAGGCGCCGGAGTGAGGCGGCCGAGCCCGCCGCGCCCTCCCTCCCTTCCCCGCCCTGCCCTCCCTCCCTTCCCCGCCCTGCCCTCCTCCTCCTCCTCCGCCTCCTCCGCCTCCTTCTCCTTCTCCTCTTCCTCCGCCTCCTCCTCCCCCTCCCCCTCCTCCTCCTCCTCCTCCTCCTCTCCCTCCTCCTCCTCTCCTCCTCCTCCTTCTCCTCCTCTCCTCCTCCTCCTCCTCCTTCCTCCTCTTCCCCTCCTCCTCCTCCTCCTCCCCCTCCTCCTCCTCCTCCTCCTCCTCCTCCTCCTCCTCCTCCTCCTCCTCCTCCTCCTCCTCCTCCTCCCCGGGGTGGCGTGGGCCAGAGCAGGGGCACCGGCCGAGACCCGCACGGCCGAGCGCGCCGCGGAAAGGGTCCCCGCGGGGTGCCCCGCCCCGCGTGGCGAAGGAAGGATGAGAAAGACACGCGTCGGGTTGGGAGGACGGGGCTGGGAGGATGGGGTTGGAACTATGGGGTCGGGAGGACGAGAAGGATGCTGTGTCGGGTTGGGAGGACGGGGCTGGGAGCAACGATCTAGGCCTCCTGGATGGGGTCGGAGCAGAGGGGGTCGGAGGAGATGGGGCTGGGAGCAAGGATCTAGGCCGGAGCAGAGGGGGTCGGAGGAGATGGGGCTGGGAGCAAGGATCCAGGCCTCCTGGAGGGGGTCGGAGCAGAGGGGGTCGGAGGAGATGGGGCTGGGAGCAAGGATCTAGGCCTCCTGGATGGGGTCGGAGCAGAGGGGGTCGGAGGAGACGGGGCTGGGAGCAAGGATCTAGGCCTCCTAGATGGGGTCCGAGCAGATGGGGTCGGAGGAGATGGGGCTGGGAGCAACGATCTAGGCCGAAGTCGGGCCTGTCCCCCTACAGGGGGATTTTCGTTGAAAAATAGCACGTACCCCCAAAATAATATTAAAAAAAACATTCCAAAAATAGTCTGGGGACTATTCTTTGAGTATTTTCTGGCCTTTTTGAGGGCATTTTGGGGTATTTTTGATTTTTCGTCGAAAATCCCCCTGTATGGGGGACACACCCGACATAAATCTACGCCTCCTAGATGGGGTCAGAGCAGATGGGGTCGGAGGATCGCGCCGCATCGCCGACGCATCGGCGATGCGTCGACGATGCGGCTCGATGTGGAGACCGTGATCCCACGCCGACGTCGCCGGTGCATTGCCGACGTAATCGATGCATCGCCGATGCATCGCCGATGCACCGCCGATACATCGGCGATGCATTGGCGATGCGGCGCGATCCTTCGAATCCACCTCCTCGGAGCCCATCAAGGAGGCATCTGAGCGATGAGATCGTCCGAACTATCGCGTATGTGAAGTGCCGTTCTTACACCGTCGTGCCCTGTATCTTCCCCGCCCCTTTCTCCCAACCCGATCATTGTCTTTCGCAAAGGAGCTGCAGACCCAGGCCCCGTCGGGTCATGAAAAGATCATGACCGGAGGTCTTCCTCATTTTCAGCCTCTGGGGGCCCTTGCTGGCCCTCGGGCCCATGGGGCCAGGCCAGACCGCTGGGGACCCTGACTGGCCCATGGGTCCATGAAAAACCAGCAATGTGTCTGGACCGCTGGGGGTCCACGTGATGGGGTTCCATGTGATTAACAAATCATGACGCCGGGGGTCTAGGGAGCAGGGGGAAACAGTACCCGATACCGCTGCACATCCCTTGTCGCCACGGCTGGATCCGGTTCGACGTCGTGGTCAGGACGCACCCTGGAAGGGGTGCTTGGAAACAAACGCCACCAACAGTCCACCGAGCTGGTAATACTTCGTTCCAGGCTCGCACCCTGGGAGTACCCAGAACGGAGTGCCACCAGCTCGGGGGGAAGCCTCTGGGATCCGCGTTTATAATGGTGGTGGCGCTTTTCTGCTCTCATGAAAGCCGTCCGACCTTCCCAGACTTCCGACGATATGACTTGCTGGAGCGTTTTGTTTTCTGAGCGTTTGTTTTTTTCGATTCGTCGGCTCCATGGGGCCCGAGCATTGGGGCCACCAGACCCTCAAAAGCATATCCAGGACTGAAAACTACCCGTGAGAAGTGGATCGGCACCCATGTGCCCGGGAGTAGCGGTATCGATACGCACGTGTCCTCTCTTCCAAAAGAGTATCCGGATCTATCCCCCCCCAAGGTTCACGGTACACCTCTTCCCATTGCAATGTACATATGATTCTGCCCGATCGTCCGTCTTAAATATGAATACATACCATTCCAGCCAGGCTGGAGTTCCCCCCTTGTATCGGCTGCAACAGATATTATGCGCGCACATTCGTCCATCAACAATCATCAATGTTCAAGAATTCCTGGCAGAAAACAAAAAGACAAAGTGCACACGCGCGCGCGGCGTGGCGCGAGCATGCCGAATTCCTTGAAAGAACCTTCTGAGCTTCGTAAGGATGTCAAAATCAGATGTCCTGACAACATATACAAACACATGGTTGTGCAGCCAGGGTGTTCAAAGAAACGCTTGCGCCCGCGCCCTTGCCAATTCTCATCAAGACCTTAGTTTTTTTCAGCATTTGATAAATGTGTTAGGACGTGAACAACCAGGCTTCTCGCGCGCGCATGCCGAAATCGCTCGAA